CTAGAAATCTGAAACCTTTGTTGCTAAATTCAGGAACAGTTTTTGTTCTCTTTTAGTAAACGTCCTGATGAGTTTTGTTGTTGATGTGTTTGCTCAGCTGCAGTCGAGGCTGAAGGAGGCCGAGAGGCTGCAGGCGGAGTTTGATCAGAACACGAAGCTGCTGCAGGAAACGGTACAGACAACTTTAGTGTTTCACGCCGTTATAAACGGCCAGAAAAGTTTGAATCAGACCCTGTTTTTGGCTTTTGTATTAATTATTATTATTATTATTATTATTATTATTGTTGTTTTCTCTGACAGGAGGCGGAGCTTCAGGCTCTGCGGCAACGGTATGAAGAAGAAGAAACCATCTGGAAGAACAAACAGTCTGAAGCCGAACAGCAGAAACAAACGGTGACGATCAGAAATCAATAAGTTAATCGTCACAGACTCAGTTTCTTGGTGATATGTTTTCTCAGAATATCATGACTTAATTCTCAAAGTCTAAATAAATTTGTTTAAAATTTTATTTAACCAGGTAAGACCCGTTGAGATTAGTGGCCTGGCCACGACATAAAAATGTTTACAGATGAAAACAGTAACCACAAGAAACAGATCAGATATACATTAACCCCTGAACGCCTGAATGTCTTTACAATCAATAAATAAAGAAAATAATTTGTGTTTTCATTTGCTTTCAAGCTGATGTTAAATTAAGTGAAGATTGTTAATTTGTCTATAGAACATAGAAAAGATATAAATTCAGGTATGTGTAGGTATGATGCAAATTAGCGACAACAGGCATAAATGAGAAACCAGGGCTTGCAAAAGGTTCCTAGGTACGTATCGAATATGCACCAACAGGCATTGGGGGAATCCATGTGCTATCTTAGCTTGCAGTCTGCAAGGAAGAGGTATGGGCTTCGTCCAGCTGTCGTTGTGAAAGCTGAATTTGAATAATATTAAAAACAGCCTGCAGTTTGGCCCCAGCCTTCGTAATGCAGGAGCCAGCACAATATATCAGTGTATCATCAGCATAGAAATGAAGCTTGACTCCGTCCAAATTTTGACCCAAACAATTGATATAGACAGAAAATAACAGGGGACCTAAGACAGAATTCTGGGTAACACCTTTACAAATGTTTAGCCAGTTAGAAGTGAGCCCATCGAGGTGATTCACAAACCGTCCCACTGCCTGGTCAGGTATTGTTGACAGGTCAATAAAAAGGTCATTCACCACCTTCATTGTCGCTGTAACGGTGCTATGTTGCCCTCTGAAGCCAGACTGGTATTTTTACACAAATACAACTTAAATAAACTTGTCATCATATATTAAGCATCACAAGTCTGTAGTTTCATTAAAATGTGACTTTATGAGCCGTCGTCATGTTATTGCAGATCCTGGATCAGCTGAAGCTGCTGGAAGAGGAAGTTCAGAGGAAGAGGACGGAGACAGAAGACACTCAGCAGGTCTGTCCTCTTTCACTGCGTTTGATTGTTGATGAAGCAGACGGATGCTGAGCTTGTGGTTGTGTCTCAGCTGAAGGAGCAGCTGATGCTGGTGGAGGCTCAGCTGGAGAAGCAGCTGGAGGAGGCCACGTTCAGCCAGAGCTGCAGCGAGGAGCTCGCTCAGGTCCGATTCACAGACACAATCACATTCATCCAACGCGTCACACCAACCCTGATCGTCAAATCGATTCATCAACAACAGTAGAACATGTTACAGAACAGAGTCCGAAGTCTGAGATGACCGGACGATGAGAAACATGAACAGAACTTTCTGCGTGATAGTTTGTTGCTGGTGAATTTACTGTCAGCAGACTAATCAATCAATCTACTGATTGTTTCAGCCCTAGTAGCTCCATAAAGTTCTGCACGTGTTCAGTAGTTTTTGTCCTGGAAGTCTTAAAGGTGCCGTAAATTGTTCATTTTCAGGTTTATGCTTATATTTTGTGTTTCCACTTGAAAATGTTTAAATGCTTTTCACCCTCTGTCTGAACACTCAGTTTTAGCTCCTGTCTCTTTAAGGTTGATGAAGGTCTTTAAGATTGGCCAACTTCCCCGAGCGCAGCCGAGGGCCTCTGCTCATGCTCCTCTGTAGCTTCGTCTGTAACTGTAGGGTGTAAACATTTCTGTGCATCCATTTGCTCCTCGGATGGTCCATTAACTCCAGCTCTGAAGTCGTTCTTCCTACTTTGTGTGTGAACTCTTTTAATTCAACTAAGCCGAGTTAAATCCCGTTCTTATTCCTACGGCACCTTTAAAAACAGAAGTGTAGTCCACTAAAGATCACAACGTTCCATTTATTTTGCTGGCGCTTTAATCCAAAGCGACGTGGAAAAGCACCGCAGGACTCATCGAGTACATCAGCATCAGACACGCAGTTATTATTCATCGTGTGTTCGCAGGTGCAGTCTCGGCTGCAGCAGACGTCCGCCAGGCTGCAGTCGGAGCAGCAGCAGCGACAGCAGCTGGACAGAGAGCTGCAGCAGGTCAGACTCACATCTGGAACGTCTGCAGATGTTTTACAGGCTCAGAACGCGGCGCCAAACTGTTTCCTCTCTGTCTCGTTGTTCTTTAGGCTCGACAGGAAGTGCTGGCTCTGCGGGCGGAGGCTGACCAGAGATCTGCTGCGCCGCTCAAGGTTTCTGATCCTCGTTTAGATCCAGACGAGCAGCTGTCATTCACATTTTAAAGATTTTAACTCTCCAAACTGAGCACAGGAAGCGCTCGCAGCGAGGCCTCGTCGAAGTAAAAGTCACGAGACATGTTGCTTTAATACTAATGATGTACTTCTACTGTGCACTCTGTAAACGTTGGCACGAACAAACCTGACGCACATATAAATATCTGTAGTTATTATTACTATAGTCTTTAATTATATATTTTTTATTTATAAAGTTTATGTTTATTGTTAAGCACCAACTCACCAAACCAAATTCACTGTGTGTGTAAACCTACTTGGAAATGAAGCTCATTCTGAAATTAAATCAGCTGTTACACAAAGCGCGTTAGCGACTCTGACCTTTGCTTCTTTTTGTTCTGGTTTTGCTTTTCAGCAAAACAAAATAAAAAAAAATCACGTTCTTCCAAATTTATCTGAAACATGATTAATAAATAAATAACAGATGACTTTTTAAATAAAGCAGCATCATTTTCTTCTGACTTTTATTTTGTCGAGGCAGGAAGTACGATTTTTTTGTTTTTTTCCCCATTTTGATCTGAATTCTTGTTTCTGCAGGAGGCGGCGCCGGTCGAGGTGAAAGAGGAGACATCGGTGTGAAACATCACGCTTCACTTCCTGTGTGGTTACCATGGTTACACATAGTGATGTCTTTATGGTAGCGATAGAAATCAGAGATCTGAGCACGTGACGAGAGACCGAAGCCGACGTGTTTGTTTTTTACATGATTTCACTGGACTTTCTGCTGCTCACTGAGACGCTTCAGGACAAATAAACTGTAAAGTCTCAACTCTGCTTTTATTGGTTCATTTTTCTGTGCTTGTGCTTCGCACACACACAAACTGTCCCTATAGAGTCCCTCCCTTCCGCCCCATGGGGCCACCGTTGGTAGTTAACGGTGATGGAACAGCGGATAAGCCACAGGCCTTTGGTGTACGAGACCCGGGGAGCAGTTAGGGGTTCAGGGGCCAGTTGCACAAAAAAACTTATGTTGTTTTCTACACACTTAAGTCTTAATTTCTCCTTAGCTAAGGAATTTACTTAAGGGTGTTGCACAGAATCCCTTTAAATGTTTCCTTACTTAAGGAAAAGCAATAAGGTGTTTGCTGCATTGATGGAGAATTTACTGTAGTAAAATTACATACTAATTACATGTTGTTACAATCTAATAAAGCACAAAAAGCTAATTTGATCCGCAAATAACAGCAAACAGAAAACAACAAATGTGGGAGGAAATCGCTTCGAAAATTCATCCAAGAAGTCTTGTGGAGAGGTTTATCCAGGAGATCCAAAATAAGTATGAAAACTTGTCTGTTCTTGACAAAAAATATCACTAATCATATAGAAGGGAACCCAATAAAACAGTTAACACTGACTTTATTTAGGCTATAGATAAAATAGACTCTGTTGCTAGCTAGCAATAAATTTGACAACCTTCTCGTTTTGCTCGTCATTTAGCGTATCCATCGGAACAGACTTCTCAGGATATGGAAAATTTGTTTCGCCATAAACTTTGGTTAAGAGAAAGCCTGAGGTACCTTAAATTATTTTCCTTAGTTTGGTTGCTGAGGTCCTTTGTGCAACGGTTTAACACACGTAAGGGATTCCTTAAGTATGAGACCAAGATAAGGAGAAAAACTCAAATACTTAAGTGAACATTTTAAGGAAACCTTAAGGAGGAGATATAAGGGTGTTTTAGGCAACCGAATGCATTTTAAGGAAACTTTAACTTAAGTGTTTTTGTGCACCCGGCCCTGGGCTTTACTCAGGGGCACCTTCAGCAGTGAGGCATGCTGGACTCAAACCCTCCGGTTCTTCAGCTAAGTCCCCACGGACGGAGCTACTGCCGCACAGCTGATCAACGGTCGAAACAAGGGCCAAAACGTTTCTCCGATCACAAGACTGGACACCAGTTTCTCCCAGAATCGTCTTGTCCATAAGTCACAATGGTTCAGGTCCAGGACACTTCTCACATCATACAGATCTGAAGCTGTCCAATGTGGAACAAACAGCCTGGAGACTCTGCTGACTTACAAACCCAAGCTGAAGACCTCATCGTTTACCGCCGCGGATTAAGTAATGTTCTGTTTAATCAAACATGTTTTATAGTTTTTATTCTGCATGCTTGGTGAAGCTCGGTGGGTAGAAACCAACTGAAGCACATTTCACAATTATTAAGTGACAGAAAAAGATCAGTTGGATCATTAAACCCCCCAAACTGGCCGACTGTCCTCAGCTGAGAGAATAAAAGTTTACCTGGTTATTATACTGCTCCTATTACTAAAGTAATAACGGCCTGATCGTTCACACGGGATTAACACACTCAAAGAACAAGTCGAACAGATGAAAGCCAATTTTATTGATCAAGTAACATAAATAGGACAAATGTTTCACTGTACATACAACCTGGAAACCAAAGTCAAAATAAATAGTGTCACAGCAATAAATTAAACGCATGAGATGGACCAGTAGACTGTTAGCCTGGAGTCGTCGTTCGTCTCGGAGGACGACAGTGCAGTTCGATGGCTATTTACACACATTTTATTTTACACAGCTTTTTCATTTTCAGCACGTTTCACTTCACTCGTCCGTCTTTACATTTGTCTTTTTTTTTTTTAACAACTTCAACAGCAACAATTTAAAAACCTAAGAAAAGCAAAAAAGCAGCGGCTGATTATTAAAAACCTTTAGTTACATGTTACAACAGCTTCGTCACAGCAGTTTCTTTAATACGCGTTCGGTATCAAATACTTCAGTCGGCAGGTTACAAAAATATCACTCTTTTGTTTTAACGAGCGTCTTCAGACGTCAGCGAACGCAGCAGCTCTCGACCCTCAGACCAGAACAAGACCTTTGACCCCGTCTGATGCTGAGCTTGCTGTTGAACGCAACCTGCTCTGCAGCGCTGAGCGCTCACGTTAACTAAAAAGACTTTCTGGGATGCATTTAAAGGGTTTCGGGGGAAACGATGACTCATCCTGTAGAGAAACAGCAGTTTGCTGAACACTCTGCCCGGCAGCAGCTCAGCAGCTCTTCATCATGAAGCTGAAGCTGCGCTCTGGTTGAAAACAGGACGTTTCCTACGTAGCTCGCCAGCTAACGAGCTACATCTGTGAAAAATAGAAAGTGCGGCTCAGATGTTTGTAGCTGTAAAAAAAACACGACTCTTAAATATGTTCCTTCGAACGACATGATGAACGTTTGGTTAGCTGCTGCTAACGGCGTCCTGCGGTTACTGTAGACAACAGATGGCGAATCTTGGATTAAGATCTCCAACTAGAAACATCTCGATATCCTCGAGACCAACGAGCAGAGTTATTTTCTTTACTACAAATGTGGCTCATATTTAGTTTTAACACCAGTTATAAGCTAAAAAAGGTTTTACCGCCCAGGTTTCATCAGCGGGTTGTTTCTGTAGTCTTTATTTCAGGTTCAAATGAAACGTGAGCATCATTTTGTTTTGTGATTGAACGGATCTAAAGAAAGAACGGCTGAGGGGTTTCCCAGACTGTCGGGTTGAGAGCTGCTGCTGAGCTGAACCTCCTGGTCTCAGACTCGGACATCAGGTCTAGATCGCTCTCCTTCGTGTGCATACAATCACAGCTGGAGCGCCGGAAAGTCGACGCCCGGCTGGAGGTGTAGAGGAAACTTAAGAGTCAAAAAAACACCTGGACACATACGCTGCAGGTTCTCCGGCGTGCAGCCGCCGAACGCCGCTGGTGAAAAACGGCGTCCTGGTGGCTACAGCTTTCATAGTCCAGCACTGTGTCTGCAACACACGCACACACGCACACACCAAAAATGAAAACGAGAAACAAAAACTGATGTAAACATTTTAGGAAAACAAACAACTCCTGAGACTGTTTCGTCGTCACGCCGCTGCACTGAAAACGTTTTATTATTTGAAAGTGCCCCCCCCCTCTCCCTCGCTTCCTGATGATGATGATGATGCTGCCAGCTGGGTGGCCAACCGATAACTACGGCGGTCGTGGGCCGGTCCTCTATCACGCCTATGATGCTTACGTTTAAACAACACACATGCGTAAGACGAGCAGCTGCAAAGCAAGTGCAGTGTTTGTCCACTAGGGGGCAGATCAGAGCAGAATTATCCCTGGCGACGCCAAATTATATTCAGCGCATCTAAAAATGGCAACAGTTGTTCGACAACTTAACTACAACTCGTAAGTGGACTGGGGCTTAAGGGCACCCAGATATTCAGTATGTCTCAAAAGAGACAGATTTAAAAAAAGAACGGTCCAAATCTGACGAGCTGACCACTAGTGTGCCACTAGCCTCAGTCTGTTAGCATGATATCATGACCAGGGACCTGTTAGCTTTAGCCTCAGTCTGTTAGCATGATATCATGACCAGGGACCTGTTAGCTTTAGCCTCAGTCTGTTAGCATGATATCATGACCAGGGACCTGTTAGCTTTAGCCTCAATCTGTTAGCATGCTATCATGACCAGGGACCTGTTAGCTTTAGCCTCAGTCTGTTAGCATGATATCATGCACCAGGGCATATTAGCATGCTATCATGACCTTGGACCTGTTAGCTTCAGCTTCATTATGTTAGCATTATTATTTTTGATACATATTTAAGACTCTTTGACAGAGTTCTGGTTTTTAAATTAGGCGGCTAGAAACAGATTTTTCAACCAACTGATGGAGCAAACGTTAGCTTAATTAGCTAACTAACTACAGCTGATAAAATCAGTTGTAATTTCAGCCAACGAAGTTGAAGATTGCCGGGTGGAAATGACAAACTTCCTTTGTTTACTTCTGTATTAACTTAAGGAACAAATGTGTCATAAATTACTATAAATGATGATGCTAAATCTGCTTCCATTATCAAAGTAAACTGTAAATGCCGAAAGGTTAGCAACAGTTAGCTACGTTTCAGACACCATGGACAAAATACCAGTTTGTAATTGGATGGCAGGTGTCCATTGAAAATTGCATATGGGGACACGTAAACTTGATTGTCACAGAAATTAAAAGAAACGAGAGATCAGAAGTAAATACGACGAGGTGTTATGGTGTGAGAAAGTAGTGGTAGATCGTTTAAAGTGAAGACGGAAGTTGCCACCAATTTCCCTCCAAAATCCCTTCAATCAGAGGAAACAGGCCCCGACTAAGCGCACATCATCAGAAACCGCAAGGATCATAGGAAAGTGACGACCGAACCTCCCTCCATCTTGAAAAATACTGTCCATCAGAGCTGCAGCTGAAGCCTCGTTTTTAGTATGAACTTTGAGTAAAAGCAACCAAAGTTAATTTTCTTTAAAAAAAACCATTACCCTCGAGATGTGGCTACATGATATCTCAGTGTGTTGTTCAATTTGAATCCAGGACAAATACATCACATATCTTTATCTGTTTGTTGACAGATAGGTCTAGGGTGTGTTTAGCCTAGCTTAGCACAAAGACAAGACTAGAAGCAGAGGAAAACTGCTAGCCTAGCCAAGCATCATCAAAGGTTGATTTCAAATGCACTGTAGTTGGCTAAGGAGTTCGTCAACAATCCATCCAAGAGTCAGGTTGGTTTTGTTGGTTAGCTCTAGGGGTCAAAATCTAGATTTTAAATCTCAAACTTTACGGTTAGCCTTAGAGACAAGAACAGAAGCTAGTAAGAAGATACAACAAGTAAATCAGACAGACTTGAAGTTCTTGGAAGAGGTCGTTTTCTTTTTCATCTTGTGCTAGATTCTTTATGTAGATTGATATTAAGCCATGAAATATTAGCTTCTTGGCCCCTGGCTCTAGTCAACCACACCCAGACTACAGGATGAACAGGTAACTAGCTGGTTAACTAACTAAATCCAACACGTAAATCAGACACTTGGAATGAACCCAATCAAGACCTAGAAGATTATCCTAAACTAATTTCTAACATCACTAATTGTTAGCTTTAGAGACGAAGATAAACGCTAACAAGAAGATACAACATGTAAATCAGACAGACATCAAGCTGTATGAAGGTAGATTTAATTTCCTCATTTGGTGTAGCTAGGCTAACAGTTTCCCCCTGCTTTCATTCTTTGTGCTAAGCTATGCTAAACGCGCCCTGTCTGTGCACTGGACACAGAGATGAAACTGATGTCCAATCTGGAACATGTAACTTAACAAAAGGGATTTCAGCTGGACTAAATATAGTTGGACCATTTAGGCTTGAACTGCAGCAATAACGCAGTAAAAAAGGGACTTTGTTGACATCTGTAGATGTGAAAGTCAAACACGATAAGTTTTCCTTCTAAACACGGACATTTTCGGACCAAAGTGAAGGAAAACATTTTGTTGAACTACTTCTACAGTAGACTAACAACCGGTTTTAGAAGCACTGGAACTTGTTAACCAGATGTTTTTGGTCACCTGGTGGTGATGTTGAACCTTTCATGGTGCAGGTTTGTGTACAATAAGCTACCGGACACACACAGACAGACAGACAGACAAGTGCACACTTCAGAAACACACAAACAGAAAACATTTTCCCTTGAGAGTCCTGACAGCTTCGGGCGTTGAGGGTAGACCGTCCGGACGAAAAGCGCTGCTCTTACCCGCGTCTACCCGAGCTCAAACTACTCGACTCATCTTCACAAAGTTCTCCCCAAGGATGAAAAGAGTTTTGATTGCTAAACCTACGCAGACACAAACATCCCCGTTCCCTTTGTCAGGTGTTCATGATTTAAGGTAGTTCGGGTGAAATCAAAACCAGAAAAGAAAGCCTCCTCGGGGTGGAAACCTAGCGAGTTCATTGGCCACAACAGACTGCGATGGAGGACATCGTCTGAAGGCGGCGATGTCATTAAACCAGACAGCACTTTTAACGACATGCAGCGAAAGCTTGGCAGGTCAGAAAAAACAAATACTTCTAGGTGATGTGTTGAACATACCGGCAAAATCCAGGATCCACAGGTTCCACAAAAAGAAAGATGAAAACGGCGAACAAGGAAGGGAGACTGAGATGCGTCTGCATAAGCAAGGCTTCTACCACTACGAGAGCTGGCGGTTGGCGACTTATTTAGCACTCCGATCTTGGAGGTAAGCGGCAGCGGGCGTTTATTGGAGGCGTCCGCCAGGCCAAGGAAAAAGACAGCGTCAGCATCAGCGTTGACCCCTCGACAGGTCGAGTCCCGGCGACCCGCGGTGGGATCAGGAGTCAAGACACGAGTGCGAACGAACAAAATCCAGCCCAGGCACGAAAACCCCGTCCCACACCTCGAGAAAAATACAAAACAAAAAAGAGAAACTTTTGGCTTTGAGGTTATGTACAGTGACTGTACATAAGTGTGGAGACAGTTTGATGTCCATCAAGTTTCCACAGACGTGCAGGACTGGATGTTGGCGAGCCGGCGCCGGCGTCAAAGGTCAGGGTCAAGTCTTCTTGTAGGGAGAGGGTGGAGCTAACCGTGTAAGTCTATGTGTATGTGTGTTTGTGTGTGTAGTGATTCTACAGTCAGCTTTATTTTCCATCTGTTGTGTGGATATGGACCCTCAACAAGCTCCGCCCCCTCCCACTAGGTCCACCGCCAGCTACTGGCGGACCTCGTTGGCGATCAGACTGTCCTCCCCTGACTGAAAATCCGCCTCATTGATGCTGCTCCCTCCGTTCAGCATCTCCTCGTCCTGGGACGACCCTCGGTCCTCCTCGCCGCTGCCACCGCCCGGCTCGTCTGAGTTTGGGTCCTGGAGCACCTGGGCAATGTACATCTGCTGCTGCTGCTGCTGCTGTTGCTGCTGCTGCTGCTGCTGCTGCTGCCGCCGCTGGACCACAAAAAAACCCACAACAAACAGGTTAACCAGCGAGTAGTATGTAGCTGCAGTACTGGAGGCTGCAGTTTCAGGACCGCAATCCTTGGACCGGAACTGCATTTCTAGGACCCTTGCTTACTTTGATACTGCCAGCTAGCTGACTGGTTACTCTTGACAGCCCCTCAAGGCCAATTACCCTCGCCACAACCATCAGCGAGTGTGTGCCAAAGCTTAAGTTATTGATTATAAGCATGTCGACCGGTTAACCCTACAGCTGCTAGCTGACAGGGTTAACCTCCTTTGTGTTGCTGTGCATTACCACCACCACTCCAACAGATGGCGCTGTCGCAAAAGAACTACGGTCCCAGGATTGCAGGGGTCCTGAAACTGCAGCCTCCTGTACTGCAGCTACATAATATTGTAACCAGCAAGGGGAGCGAAAAACCACCACAAACAGGTTAACCAGAAGGGGGAGTGTTTGCAAGCTACGCAGGATCTTTTTAGAGTTAAAGACTAGCCGGAGTCGCCACACTGAGCTTCCATCCACACTCCTACGTTCTCGTTTTAAACCTCAGACCTTCTGATACTTTTGCACCTGCCATCTGGAACTAAAACAGATAATCTGAACTTCTAAGAGACTGAAAACACTGACTGTTTTGGTTTTAAACTCCGGGGTAGAGTGTTACTGCTGACCGGTGAAAACGATGACGCTCACGTTTGGCTTCCTGATTGGCTCTTATCAGTCAGTCAAAGCAGAAACACGATGCTGCTGACAGAGTTTTATTAAAACATGTTGTACTGTGTAAATAACACTTCTACTCATGTACTGTGCAAGTCGTGTTCCTTTTACTAACAGTTCCACTTCGCTGTTGGTCCATGCTGGTCCAAGAAATTTCTGCTGTTCTTCATTCGTCTCTAGTAGAACTTTCTTCTTTAGTCGAGCTATCGAGTAGACAACCTGCTTCCTGTTTACACCGGCACGCACGTGCCTAGAGTATGTGAACGGTCACGTGATGTGCATTTTAATTTGTTTGAATCTAGACGGAGATTAATTCTTATACGCAGCTAAAACGCTGGTGGGGATGGAAAATGTAGTAGTGTGGATGGAGCCTGAGTTTCCAAATCAAAGCTATGAGCGAGTGTTTCATGCAGTCTATGATCATACATAATAAAAAGAACTGGGTTCTTGTTTCATACTGACAAATCTTTTGTACTTTCCATAGAAAAAAAGTCTTAAAGGTTGGCATATAATGTCTGAGTCCTAGTCTTGTTGACTTTTTCTATGATGGAACAAATCCAGATTTAAATCATCTCTCCCGTTATGAGCTGTATTTGATTTATATACAGTCCAAGTTCTTAACAAGTAAAAGTAAGAAACCTAAACTGGATCCTAACCCTAAAGGTCCTTAGAGATATAGTTCGATCTTGTGTGCACAACGTAATAACTTGAGCGCAACTTGTAAGTGAGCCACCTGAGATTTGGTGGTGGGGGAGGACGAGGGACGAGCTGGACGTCCATTCTCGACGGCGTCCACATCGTTCTCCTTGGTGTCGATCTGAGACGGAGACACAGAGGGAGACAGTGTAAACACCAACACGGATGTTTCACACACGTTCCTTTGGGAACCTTCACTAAAAGAAGTTGCTGTACCTTGTAGTTGTGAGCGCTGAGGTACTTAAAGTGTCCGAAGCAGACGTGAGACAGACAGACCACGATGGTGATGATCAGCACCACCAAGGTGAACATGGACGTCGCTGTCTCGAAACCTGAAAGCACATTAGCAGTTTTAATTAGCATTCAACAACTTCGCTCACACAAACATAGATTGAATGTTTATCCGGGTTAGGGTCAACCATTGAAAGGACACGTTCAACGGTACGCTTCCTGTGATAGGTTCAAATGGTGTCTTGACTGACTTGAGGCTTGCTCGGGGGGGGGGGGGGGGGGGGGGCGGCTTACCTGTGCGTACAGTGGAGAAGAAGAGCAACCAGAAGAGGCAGAGGATGGGTGCGGCCACAACCTGGGTGACGGCCCCGGAATGGATCTTCTTGTCCAGTTTGGAGGGCAGGTAGGCGTAGTACATGTTGTATCTGTCCACCAGGTGTTTCAGCAGCATGTACATCAGACCTGGTTCAGGAAGTCCCACAGACGACTTAACATATCTGATCAGTCATTACTGACGGGATTTGACAAGGCTAGAGACGGAACTTGATTTGGACTTATGTGGATTGACTTGGGATTCGGCATGGATTTGAATTGACTGATATGATACTTATTTGGACTTGCCACTAAAGTCCTACAAACAACTGTGATGACTAGTATTACCCTTAGTACTAGTGCTGTGGTACTATATTCTTGTACTATATTGTATTACAGATGCTGTCGTAGTAGCAGTGCAGTATGGGGTGTGGTGTACTTGAGACTGACCGAAGGGGACGATGATGGGGCAGGTGATGCTGTAGGCCATCACCACCGTGAAGACGTTCATCATCCAGGCGTACGCCGCTCCGAACTGAAACTCATAGGCCTGGTGCTGCAGGGACCAAACACAGGCTTTAAACAGGACACAGCAGCAGCAACAGCAGCGCCCCCATGAGGCTGCAATGTTGAGGCACGTCAATCATCTTACTCAGGGTCACCATAAGTCAGAGTCACTGTCCGTCCTCTCGATCAGGGTCACCATAAGTTAGGGTCACGGTCAGTCCTCTTAGTTAGGGTCACGGTCAGTCAGAGTCACTGTCCGTCCTCTTAGTCATGGTCACGGTCAGTCAGAGTCACTGTCCGTCCTCTCGATCAGGGTCACGGTCAGTCCTCTTAGTCAGGGTCACCGTCCGTCAGAGTCACTGTCCGTCCTCTTAGTCAGGGTCACCGTCCGTCAGAGTCACTGTCCGTCCTCTCGATCAGGGTCACCATCAGTCAGAGTCACTGTCCGTCCTCTCGATCAGGGTCACGGTCCGTCCTCTTAGTCAGGGTCACCATCAGTCAGAGTCACTGTCCGTCCTCTTAGTCAGGGTCACCATCAGTCAGAGTCACTGTCCGTCCTCTCGATCAGGGTCACGGTCAGTCCTCTTAGTCAGGGTCACCATCAGTCAGAGTCACGGTCAGTCCTCTTAGTCAGGGTCACCATCAGTCAGAGTCACGGTCAGTCCTCTTAGTCAGGGTCACCATCAGTCAGAGTCACTGTCCGTCCTCTTAGTCAGGGTCACCATCAGTCAGAGTCACTGTCCGTCCTCTTAGTCAGGGTCACGGTCAGTCAGAGTCACTGTCCGTCCTCTTAGTCAGGGTCACGGTCAGTCAGAGTCACTGTCCGTCCTCTCGATCAGGGTCACGGTCAGTCCTCTTAGTCAGGGTCACCATCAGTCAGAGTCACGGTCAGTCCTCTTAGTCAGGGTCACCATCAGTCAGAGTCACTGTCCGTCCTCTCGATCAGGGTCACGGTCAGTCCTCTTAGTCAGGGACACGGTCAGTCAGAGTCACTGTCCGTCCTCTTAGTCAGGGTCACCATCAGTCAGAGTCACTGTCCGTCCTCTTAGTCAGGGTCACCATCAGTCAGAGTCACTGTCCGTCCTCTTAGTCAGGGTCACCATCAGTCAGAGTCACTGTCCGTCCTCTTAGTCAGGGTCACTGTCCGTCCTCTCGATCAGGGTCACGGTCAGTCCTCTTAGTCAGGGTCACTGTCCGTCCTCTCGATCAGGGTCACGGTCAGTCCTCTTAGTCAGGGACACGGTCAGTCAGAGTCACTGTCCGTCCTCTTAGTCAGGGTCACCATCAGTCAGAGTCACTGTCCGTCCTCTTAGTCAGGGTCACTGTCCGTCCTCTCGATCAGGGTCACGGTCAGTCCTCTTAGTCAGGGTCACTGTCCGTCCTCTTAGTCAGGGTCACGGTCAGTCCTCTTAGTCAGGGTCACGGTCAGTCCTCTTAGTCAGGGTCACCATCAGTCAGAGTCACTGTCCGTCCTCTTAGTCAGGGACACGGTCCGTCCTCTTAGTCAGGGTCACCATCAGTCAGAGTCACTGTCCGTCCTCTTAGTCAGGGACACGGTCCGTCCTCTTAGTCAGGGTCACCATCAGTCAGGGTCACTGTCAGTCCTCTTAGTCAGGGTCACTGTCCGTCCTCTTAGTCAGGGTCACCATCAGTCAGAGTCACTGTCCGTCCTCTTAGTCAGGGTCACGGTCAGTCAGAGTCACTGTCCGTCCTCTTAGTCAGGGACACGGTCAGTCCTCTTAGTCAGAGTCACTGTCCGTCCTCTTAGTCAGGGTCACGGTCAGTCAGAGTCACGGTCAGTCCTCTTGATCAGGGTCACGGTCCGTCCTCTTAGTCAGGGTCACCATCAGTCAGAGTCACGGTCAGTCCTCTTAGTCAGGGTCACCATCAGTCAGAGTCACTGTCAGTCCTCTTAGTCAGGGTCACGGTCCGTCCTCTTAGTCAGGGTCACCATCAGTCAGAGTCACTGTCAGTCCTCTTAGTCAGAGTCACGGTCCGTCCTCTTAGTCAGGGTCACCATCAGTCAGAGTCACGGTCAGTCCTCTTAGTCAGGGTCACGGTCCGTCCTCTTAGTCAGGGTCACCATCAGTCAGAGTCACTGTCAGTCCTCTTAGTCAGGGTCACGGTCAGTCCTCTCGATCAGGGTCACGGTCAGTCCTCTTAGTCAGGGTCACCATCAGTCAGAGTCACTGTCCGTCCTCTCGATCAGGGTCACGGTCAGTCCTCTTAGTCAGGGTCACCATCAGTCAGAGTCACGGTCAGTCCTCTTAGTCAGGGTCACCATCAGTCAGAGTCACGGTCAGTCCTCTTAGTCAGGGTCACCATCAGTCAGAGTCACTGTCCGTCCTCTTAGTCAGGGTCACCGTCAGTCAGAGTCACTGTCCGTCCTCTTAGTCAGGGTCACGGTCAGTCAGAGTCACTGTCCGTCCTCTTAGTCAGGGTCACGGTCAGTCAGAGTCACTGTCCGTCCTCTCGATCAGGGTCACGGTCAGTCCTCTTAGTCAGGGTCACCATCAGTCAGAGTCACGGTCAGTCCTCTTAGTCAGGGTCACCATCAGTCAGAGTCACTGTCCGTCCTCTCGATCAGGGTCACGGTCAGTCCTCTTAGTCAGGGACACGGTCAGTCAGAGTCACTGTCCGTCCTCTTAGTCAGGGTCACCATCAGTCAGAGTCACTGTCCGTCCTCTTAGTCAGGGTCACCATCAGTCAGAGTCACTGTCCGTCCTCTTAGTCAGGGTCACTGTCCGTCCTCTCGATCAGGGTCACGGTCAGTCCTCTTAGTCAGGGTCACTGTCCGTCCTCTCGATCAGGGTCACGGTCAGTCCTCTTAGTCAGGGACACGGTCAGTCAGAGTCACTGTCCGTCCTCTTAGTCAGGGTCACCATCAGTCAGAGTCACTGTCCGTCCTCTTAGTCAGGGTCACTGTCCGTCCTCTCGATCAGGGTCACGGTCAGTCCTCTTAGTCAGGGTCACTGTCCGTCCTCTTAGTCAGGGTCACGGTCAGTCCTCTTAGTCAGGGTCACGGTCAGTCCTCTTAGTCAGGGTCACCATCAGTCAGAGTCACTGTCCGTCCTCTTAGTCAGGGACACGGTCCGTCCTCTTAGTCAGGGTCACCATCAGTCAGAGTCACTGTCCGTCCTCTTAGTCAGGGACACGGTCCGTCCTCTTAGTCAGGGTCACCATCAGTCAGGGTCACTGTCAGTCCTCTTAGTCAGGGTCACTGTCCGTCCTCTTAGTCAGGGTCACCATCAGTCAGAGTCACTGTCCGTCCTCTTAGTCAGGGTCACGGTCAGTCAGAGTCACTGTCCGTCCTCTTAGTCAGGGACACGGTCAGTCCTCTTAGTCAGAGTCACTGTCCGTCCTCTTAGTCAGGGTCACGGTCAGTCAGAGTCACGGTCAGTCCTCTTGATCAGGGTCACGGTCCGTCCTCTTAGTCAGGGTCACCATCAGTCAGAGTCACGGTCAGTCCTCTTAGTCAGGGTCACCATCAGTCAGAGTCACTGTCAGTCCTCTTAGTCAGGGTCACGGTCCGTCCTCTTAGTCAGGGTCACCATCAGTCAGAGTCACTGTCAGTCCTCTTAGTCAGGGTCACGGTCCGTCCTCTTAGTCAGGGTCACCATCAGTCAGAGTCACTGTCAGTCCTCTTAGTCAGAGTCACGGTCCGTCCTCTTAGTCAGGGTCACCATCAGTCAGAGTCACGGTCAGTCCTCTTAGTCAGGGTCACGGTCCGTCCTCTTAGTCAGGGTCACCATCAGTCAGAGTCACTGTCAGTCCTCTTAGTCAGGGTCACGGTCAGTCCTCTCGATCAGGGTCACGGTCAGTCCTCTTAGTCAGGGTCACCATCAGTCAGAGTCACGGTCAGTCCTCTTAGTCAGGGTCACCATCAGTCAGAGTCACTGTCCGTCCTCTTAGTCAGAGTCACTGTCCGTCCTCTTAGTCAGGGTCACCATCAGTCAGAGTCACGGTCAGTCCTCTTAGTCAGGGTCACGGTCCGTCCTCTTAGTCAGGGTCACCATCAGTCAGAGTCACTGTCAGTCCTCTTAGTCAGGGTCACGGTCAGTCCTCTTAGTCAGGGTCACCATCAGTCAGAGTCACTGTCCGTCCTCTCGATCAGGGTCACGGTCAGTCCTCTTAGTCAGAGTCACTGTCCGTCCTCTTAGTCAGGGTCACGGTCAGTCAGAGTCACGGTCAGTCCTCTTGATCAGGGTCACGGTCCGTCCTCTTAGTCAGGGTCACCATCAGTCAGAGTCACGGTCAGTCCTCTTAGTCAGGGTCACGGTCCGTCCTCTTAGTCAGGGTCACCATCAGTCAGAGTCACTGTCAGTCCTCTTAGTCAGGGTCACCATCAGTCAGAGTCACGGTCAGTCCTCTTAGTCAGGGTCACCATCAGTCAGAGTCACTGTCCGTCCTCTTAGTCAGAGTCACTGTCCGTCCTCTTAGTCAGGGTCACCATCAGTCAGAGTCACGGTCAGTCCTCTTAGTCAGGGTCACGGTCCGTCCTCTTAGTCAGGGTCACCATCAGTCAGAGTCACTGTCAGTCCTCTTAGTCAGGGTCACGGTCAGTCCTCTTAGTCAGGGTCACCATCAGTCAGAGTCACTGTCCGTCCTCTCGATCAGGGTCACGGTCAGTCCTCTTAGTCAGAGTCACTGTCCGTCCTCTTAGTCAGGGTCACGGTCAGTCAGAGTCACGGTCAGTCCTCTTGATCAGGGTCACGGTCCGTCCTCTTAGTCAGGGTCACCATCAGTCAGAGTCACGGTCAGTCCTCTTAGTCAGGGTCACGGTCCGTCCTCTTAGTCAGGGTCACCATCAGTCAGAGTCACTGTCAGTCCTCTTAGTCAGAGTCACGGTCCGTCCTCTTAGTCAGGGTCACCATCAGTCAGAGTCACGGTCAGTCCTCTTAGTCAGGGTCACGGTCCGTCCTCTTAGTCAGGGTCACCATCAGTCAGAGTCACTGTCAGTCCTCTTAGTCAGGGTCACGGTCAGTCCTCTCGATCAGGGTCACGGTCAGTCCTCTTAGTCAGGGTCACCATCAGTCAGAGTCACTGTCCGTCCTCTCGATCAGGGTCACGGTCAGTCCTCTTAGTCAGGGTCACCATCAGTCAGAGTCACGGTCAGTCCTCTTAGTCAGGGTCACCATCAGTCAGAGTCACGGTCAGTCCTCTTAGTCAGGGTCACCATCAGTCAGAGTCACTGTCCGTCCTCTTAGTCAGGGTCACCGTCAGTCAGAGTCACTGTCCGTCCTCTTAGTCAGGGTCACGGTCAGTCAGAGTCACTGTCCGTCCTCTTAGTCAGGGTCACGGTCAGTCAGAGTCACTGTCCGTCCTCTCGATCAGGGTCACGGTCAGTCCTCTTAGTCAGGGTCACCATCAGTCAGAGTCACGGTCAGTCCTCTTAGTCAGGGTCACCATCAGTCAGAGTCACTGTCCGTCCTCTCGATCAGGGTCACGGTCAGTCCTCTTAGTCAGGGACACGGTCAGTCAGAGTCACTGTCCGTCCTCTTAGTCAGGGTCACCATCAGTCAGAGTCACTGTCCGTCCTCTTAGTCAGGGTCACTGTCCGTCCTCTCGATCAGGGTCACGGTCAGTCCTCTTAGTCAGGGTCACTGTCCGTCCTCTCGATCAGGGTCACGGTCAGTCCTCTTAGTCAGGGACACGGTCAGTCAGAGTCACTGTCCGTCCTCTTAGTCAGGGTCACTCAGTCAGAGTCACTGTCCTCTCGTCAGGGTCACTGTCCGTCCTCTCGATCAGGGTCACGGTCAGTCCTCTTAGTCAGGGTCACTGTCCGTCCTCTTAGTCAGGGTCACGGTCAGTCCTCTTAGTCAGGGTCACGGTCAGTCCTCTTAGTCAGGGTCACCATCAGTCAGAGTCACTGTCCGTCCTCTTAGTCAGGGACACGGTCCGTCCTCTTAGTCAGGGTCACCATCAGTCAGAGTCACTGTCCGTCCTCTTAGTCAGGGACACGGTCCGTCCTCTTAGTCAGGGTCACCATCAGTCAGGGTCACTGTCAGTCCTCTTAGTCAGGGTCACTGTCCGTCCTCTTAGTCAGGGTCACCATCAGTCAGAGTCACTGTCCGTCCTCTTAGTCAGGGTCACGGTCAGTCAGAGTCACTGTCCGTCCTCTTAGTCAGGGACACGGTCAGTCCTCTTAGTCAGAGTCACTGTCCGTCCTCTTAGTCAGGGTCACGGTCAGTCAGAGTCACGGTCAGTCCTCTTGATCAGGGTCACGGTCCGTCCTCTTAGTCAGGGTCACCATCAGTCAGAGTCACGGTCAGTCCTCTTAGTCAGGGTCACCATCAGTCAGAGTCACTGTCAGTCCTCTTAGTCAGGGTCACGGTCCGTCCTCTTAGTCAGGGTCACCATCAGTCAGAGTCACTGTCAGTCCTCTTAGTCAGGGTCACGGTCCGTCCTCTTAGTCAGGGTCACCATCAGTCAGAGTCACTGTCAGTCCTCTTAGTCAGAGTCACGGTCCGTCCTCTTAGTCAGGGTCACCATCAGTCAGAGTCACGGTCAGTCCTCTTAGTCAGGGTCACGGTCCGTCCTCTTAGTCAGGGTCACCATCAGTCAGAGTCACTGTCAGTCCTCTTAGTCAGGGTCACGGTCAGTCCTCTCGATCAGGGTCACGGTCAGTCCTCTTAGTCAGGGTCACCATCAGTCAGAGTCACGGTCAGTCCTCTTAGTCAGGGTCACCATCAGTCAGAGTCACTGTCCGTCCTCTTAGTCAGAGTCACTGTCCGTCCTCTTAGTCAGGGTCACCATCAGTCAGAGTCACGGTCAGTCCTCTTAGTCAGGGTCACGGTCCGTCCTCTTAGTCAGGGTCACCATCAGTCAGAGTCACTGTCAGTCCTCTTAGTCAGGGTCACGGTCAGTCCTCTTAGTCAGGGTCACCATCAGTCAGAGTCACTGTCCGTCCTCTCGATCAGGGTCACGGTCAGTCCTCTTAGTCAGAGTCACTGTCCGTCCTCTTAGTCAGGGTCACGGTCAGTCAGAGTCACGGTCAGTCCTCTTGATCAGGGTCACGGTCCGTCCTCTTAGTCAGGGTCACCATCAGTCAGAGTCACGGTCAGTCCTCTTAGTCAGGGTCACCATCAGTCAGAGTCACTGTCCGTCCTCTTAGTCAGAGTCACTGTCCGTCCTCTTAGTCAGGGTCACCATCAGTCAGAGTCACGGTCAGTCCTCTTAGTCAGAGTCACGGTCAGTCCTCTTAGTCAGGGTCACGGTCCGTCCTCTTAGTCAGGGTCACCATCAGTCAGAGTCACTGTCCGTCCTCTCGATCAGGGTCACGGTCAGTCCTCTTAGTCAGAGTCACTGTCCGTCCTCTTAGTCAGGGTCACGGTCAGTCAGAGTCACGGTCAGTCCTCTTGATCAGGGTCACGGTCCGTCCTCTTAGTCAGGGTCACCATCAGTCAGAGTCACGGTCAGTCCTCTTAGTCAGGGTCACGGTCCGTCCTCTTAGTCAGGGTCACCATCAGTCAGAGTCACTGTCAGTCCTCTTAGTCAGGGTCACGGTCAGTCCTCTCGATCAGGGTCACGGTCAGTCCTCTCGATCAGGGTCACGGTCAGTCCTCTCGATCAGGGTCACGGTCAGTCCTCTTAGTCAGGGTCACCATCAGTCAGAGTCACGGTCAGTCCTCTTAGTCAGGGTCACGGTCAGTCCTCTTAGTCAGGGTCACCATCAGTCAGAGTCACTGTCCGTCCTCTTAGTCAGAGTCACTGTCCGTCCTCTTAGTCAGGGTCACCATCAGTCAGAGTCACTGTCAGTCCTCTTAGTCAGGGTCACGGTCAGTCCTCTCGATCAGGGTCACGGTCAGTCCTCTTAGTCAGGGTCACCATCAGTCAGAGTCACGGTCAGTCCTCTTAGTCAGGGTCACGGTCCGTCCTCTTAGTCAGGGTCACTATCAGTCAGAGTCACTGTCCGTCCTCTTAGTCGGGGTCACCATCAGTCAGAGTCACTGTCCGTCCTCTTAGTCAGAGTCACTGTCCGTCCTCTTAGTCAGGGTCACGTCAGTCCTCTTAGTCAGGGTCACCATCAGTCAGAGTCACTGTCCGTCCTCTTAGTCAGGGTCACGTCAGTCCTCTCAGTCAGGGTCACGTCAGTCCTCTCAGTCAGAGTCACGTCAGTCCTCTCAGTCAGGGTCACGTCAGTCCTCTTAGTCAGGGTCACGTCAGTCCTCTTAGTCAGGGTCACGGTCAGTCCTCTTAGTCAGGGTCACCATCAGTCAGAGTCACTGTCCGTCCTCTTAGTCAGGGTCACGTCAGTCCTCTCAGTCAGGGTCACGTCAGTCCTCACCCTCTTGACGTTGCGGCGGTCGGCGGCGGAGCGAGCCAGGCACAGCCGGATCATGTACATGAGCAGACCGGGGATCCTCAGCAGGTCCATGGCATTCCCGATGAACGCCGAGGCGATGACATAGTTGACGAAGAATGCTCCGTTATCCGGCAGGAAGACGCACCTGAAGGGGACGCAGCACCATCATTACAGCAGAACGGCCTACTACTGATCAATCAAACTTTATTGATACCTTATAGATGCGTGCAGAGAAACAGAGCTGTACATAAGCTGAATATAAACAAAGGCTAAAGATACTTTTATCACTTCAAATTATGGAAGTCCAGGACTGCCAATATTAATTTGAATTTTATGTTTAAATGTTTTTAATTTAAAATTGTATTTATTTTTTAAATATCCAATATATCCAATTTTCGATTTCTTGGGCATTTACTTGCAGTGAGGACTAGAATTAAAACCCCAGAGATAAATAATTATCAGTGTCCTCCAAACCATCATAGTGCTAGTTAGTGTTCGATAATGACATTGAACATGGGATTACTTACTCAAATCGGACTGTGGCATCAGCCAGGAACTTCTTATCGAAGAGCCAGCGGAAGAAAACATCCAGACTGAAAACCGGAGACACAGAAGTATCAGTAAGAACAGCAGAGGTCAAAGGTCACTCAGCGACAGATTCTTACAGTGAACGGTTTTTATTACCTGCTGAGTCCGAGAGACGGCAGCAGCAGAACCATGAAGATCAGGAAGGTGTAACATTTATGCATCGTTGTCCTGTTTTCTCCAGACCTGCAGACACACAGAGACGACCAAACCAGGGTCAGATACCCCCCTCAGCTACTGTAGACTTGATTTGGACCCGTGATGACTGATCTGAGGACTTGTCTCGACTGACCCAATTTAGACAGGTCTAATGACAAATTAATTTGAGACTTGACTTGGGCTTGTTTGTATATATTGAGATCTGTCCTTTAAACTGACACTTAACTTGAATTTCTTCTCAGTCAAAGTGATTTGGACGTGTCTGGAGTGACCTGAGACATGATTTGGACTTTTATCAACTGACATTCAACTTCACTTGGACTAGTCTCCTCTAATGTGAGATTTTTATTTGGATTAGTCTTGAATGACTTGAGGCTTGACCTGGACTTGCCACAGAAGTGCTACTACTAATATTGAAGTATTAAAGGTTCAGTGTGTGAGATTTAGTGGCATCTAGTGGTGAGGGTTGTGAACTGCAACCATCTGTCCAGTCTACCACTGCCCTCTAACCTTTCAGAGAGCGCAGGACAGCTACGGTGGCTCACACAGCACAAAAGGTGTCTCTTCAGAGACAGCAGAGAGTGGCCAGTCAGGAAATGAGGTTTCTTTAGGTAGATTTATTAAGAAATGATATTTACTGAATTATTCAGTAAAACCACATGTTATTGTGACTTGGCCACTGACAGACAACGTGGAAAATGTGAGCCAAGAGTGTGAAACACTGTCACTGTTTCTGCACCACAGTCCTTTATAAACCACACGTTAGATAAAGTTTATACAAACACTGAAAAGGGAAACACGTTGATTCTCTCTGTGATTATGGATCCTCGCCAAAACTGCCGCCAACAACAATATCTGGCCCGCTGCCAGATTACGGTGCTTTGATAGCGGCAACAAATATAAATACCTAAACACTTTGACAGCTGCTGAAATAGATCTCAGTCATGACAGTTACTCACATAATCACTTCCTCTTTAGTGGTTTTGTCAACAAAATAAAAGAGCGAGAAGCTTGTTTACTGTAATGCAGTATTTGGAGTTGAACTGAGCTTTTACTTTGAAAGAGCCGTCAGAGAACGTGATTCCCCTAAATGTTCTCTGCCTGGAGATACTGGGGAAATGAAAAGCGTCTGTAGGTTGATGGATGAGGATCAAACACCGAAACACAAACAGTGCAGCGCATGCCGTGACCTCAGAAACATGCGCTGCTTAATCTTTTTGTCGGAGAGAGAAAAAACAAAGTTGTCTTGAGGTGGAATCAAACCCTCAACCCTTGTGTTGCGAGTCTGAGGTGGAACCAGCAGCGGTACCTGGTCCAGTGAGCCTCGAAGAAGGCAGAGTAGTAGACGATGGTGGGCAGCAGAGCAGAGAAAGCCCAAAGCAGCAGCGTGGGGAAGAACTGAGTGACGATGGGATTCTGTACAAACAAACAAACAAACAGCAGAGTGAGAGCAGCAGGACGATGACTCATCTGCTGAGACTCGGTTGGACTTAGAGGCTGGTCGTTCTTACGTTGAGATACTCGACAGGCTTGGTGACGTTGAACTTGTCCATGGTGGAGATGATGATGGCGGGCGTGGTGAGGAAGAAGAGCAGGAGGAAGAGGATGCAGTTGATGATGAAGCAGCGGATCCACCAGGAGATCCCCCCCAGCGACAGGTGTTCCCTGCAAGAAGAAACCAGGACACGGTGAGGGGTGCATTTGATTTGTATTTGGTTGTGTTTTTAGGCGGGTGGAGTTTGCGGACGTACCAGCGGACGTTCTGCGGGTCGGGCGCGTACGAAACGCTCCAGTTGTAAACATGAAGAGCCTCGCTGAACTGAGAGGACTGTGGCTCCTGATGACACCGACAACCCTGAACCTGACAGGCGTTGAAGTCCTTCAAGATGCTGTGAAAACAGACGGGGCGGGGTCAGAGAAAGGGGTGGAGTCAGACAGAGGAGGTGAAGTTACAGAGAGGGGCGGAAGAGGTGGAGTCAGAGAAGTGCACATTCATGACATGGAAATAATTGTAGGTGGGAGGCGTGAGAAACGAGGTGGGGTCATGAGAATGGGCGGAGTCAGGGTCAGGTCAGGGGCGGGGCTCACATGGCAGTCATGGCCTCGTTCTGGAAGGTGACGAAGGCCATGCCCAGTGGTTTGGTGTGGACCTTCTCCTTCTCCTTCCTGTACTCCTCCTTCAGCTTGGCCTCCCTCTTGGTGTAGTAGCTGACCGCCTCCTCCTGCAGGACAAATGCAGGCCGCTGAATCACTGCTAACAAGGTAACAACACCTGAGCCAACACATTCACACCAGGCAAAAGAAAAAGTCCTTTCCTAAACAACAAACAACCAAATAGATAGTTGTTAAAATAAAAACTAATCAAATAGGATTGAAATGTTGAAATTGATCAAATAAAGCAACAGCCACAGATGGAGTAGGCGTGCTGGGAGACAGTTCAGCAGAACAGCGTCTGCAAATGGCCATTTTTGCGTCTTCTGAACACCGAAAGTGCTGTTTTCGCTATTTTCGGTGGATCCCTACTATTTATGGTTTCAGAGCTCATCATACGAGGACTTCCAGACGTTTTGGATCGTGCCAGGAGCATAAAACAGGCGCTCTGTAGTTTCTACATTTACGTGGGTCTGCCGTGGTGAAACTACAATGCTGCTTATATGTTGCTGCTGCAAGGAATTGTGGGACGGCGTTACCTCCTTCCCTTTGGCAAAGGATGGTGCAGTGTTCCCTACGCTAAAGGGGGTAAGGAAGGAAGCAGGGATGCACTTTTCCTCAGCTTAAGAGAACTCGACCAGCTCTCATCACGGCTGCCGCTTCCAGGTCGACATGTTATAAAACTGCCTCTTTACTTTAGTCTGAAAACTGTTTTCACAGCCTGAAAGTAAAGTAAGTAGTTAAAAGAAGTTAAATGTAGAAACAGATGATTGTCAGCATCAACGTCGTCTCAATTCTCTAACCGCCCAATCACGTTCCAGCACAGCAGCGACGTGATGTGATTTCTAACCATCATGCTGCAGGCTCACACATGCACACGCTACTCTGCGTGTGCATGTGTGAGCACAGCGTTAGCGTTATTAGCGTCACCTCCTCGCAGCCGGCGATGGCGCAGCAGCACAGGTGTCCGCAGGGTTTGGGGTTGATCATGGTGGGAACGTGTTCCTTCGCCATCAGGTCGGTGAAGAACTTCTTGCTGCGCTCCGTCTTCTTCCTGACAGACACAAACACACGGAGCATGTGTGGCTTTTCATCGTCTTTAATGTGTCTCCCAGCATGCACTGGGCCCCGACTCTGTCTCACCTCTCGGCGTTCAGAGACATCAGCTTGGCCACGTTGTAGCAGATCCGAGCCTCCAGCACCGTGCAGTTCTCGTACGCCTGCCTGAGGAACAACAAGAAGGCTCAGATCCTGCAGGCGTCACACCAAACAGAGAGACTACGGACTTATATAAAATAAATATATAATAATATAAAAATATTATCAAGGGTTCCTATTCAGCCGGCACAGTCGAGGACAAGATTAAGAGAAAATTAATTGTACTTTTTAATCAAGGTGTTATAGCCGGTGAGTGCCTGGCCCCTGACCCCCTGGAGGTCATCTTAGAAAAGAGAACGAGTGCCAAACTAAAGAATCTCATGGAGCTTGTAGACACCGAGTTGCTGTAGACTGAAGATGCCACGGTGTTTTATCCCAACAGCAATTTGATTTTTTAAATCAATGTGTCTGATTTTTTATTTGAAGTTTTCAGCTGGTCGTATTTGTAACAACCCATCAGCTTAAATCAGGCTTCAGAAGGCTGTTTTTATTTCTTGTTCTGTGCGAACCTACTGGTTGTCTTGACTACAATCCCCACATTATTGTCAATATTTTATTATCTCTTGTATCCAGCGGTTTAGACATTAACGGCTGTGTGATGTGTTATTTTGAGGGGACAGCAGATTTACACTGTTACAAGCTGTAGACTCACTACTTTACACTGGAGCAAAGGGTCATTTCTTCAGTGTTGGCTTCAGAGTTTCCCCTTTGAGGAATAATGAAGCTTTCTAATCTAATAAACAGCCTAAAATTTCACCTAAACCACAGACAAAGAAACCTTTTTAAAGATCTGAGAGGAAGACGGAACAGAAAGCAGTGAACTTACTCAAAGTGCTGTTTGATCTGACTCTCCTCTGCGTATTTAGAGATGCCGTTAATGAATAAAGTACGTTTCACCTGCAAAACACAAGACTGGGATTAAAACAAGCGACAGCAGATTTAAAATAAGATTAATTTGAACAATTATTAACGTTTCACACCTCACAGTTTAAAGTCAAAAATACTTTATCAGCATTGGGGAAGGGGGACAGTGGTGACAAAGCGAGGGTAGCGAACAAACACCTGTAAAATGCATCTGAATACATTGGACATTGTTTTCCAAATGTTACATTACACAGATAAAGATCGTCGTCACATCTCTGATGAAGCCTCAAGAAACCTAAAACGACGACGTTTGACACCTGCCGGATCCACACAGGTGACGACTGTTCATCACCGTTATTAGGCTATTAGATTTAAACTTGTGTTTCCTACCAGGTCGTCCTCCTTGTAGTGCATCTTGGAGGTGTGTCTCCTCATGCTGTAGACGGTCAGCAGCAGATACATAAAGGCGAATGAGGTGTGCAGCCACAGCAGGTTGTTCCTGGACATGAAAAAAAACACTCGGTCAGGTTTAGACACCAAGGTTGCTTAGAGGTCCTGATCCTGGATCTGCTGCTTCCTGCTGAGCAACTCAAATCGGAGAAGAAGAAAAACTAAAGCTGGAACAGATTTGAGTTTCATCGACTTCAGTCTGATCTGTGCTACTCAGATCAGACCATTAACAGGTTTACAGGGTCTCATGTGATCACCGGTGAGGATCAGTAAAGTAATCAATACAGTAAATGAACCCTTGAGAACTCACTGAGACTTCAGGTTCGCTATCGTGGTGCGTCCGAAGCTGTAGGCGTTGTTTTCTGGAAGAAAAACATAAGTCAGAGTTCATCATCAGGAAACATTTACCACTGAAGCTAACAATCAAACTAAGTACATTAAGTCAAGTACTGTACTGAAGTACACTTCTGAGGTACTATACGGATTCAGAATACAAACTATAATCACCAAATACATGACGATGTATTTGTATCACAAACTACCCCGCTGAATATAAAACAAACCCAACAGGAAGTCAGCCATTTTAAATTTTATGGTAATTTCTTACGATTTACAGGATCCGTACTTTAACGTACTCCTCCTACAGGATTAATTGGATCGATTTCAAATTTTTGCTGCACAATCTACAGACCCTTGCGATTAAAAGTTGTGTTAACGGTGAGTTTTCGCTAAAGGGCGGGCTTGTGGCGTGGCGTCGAAAATGGATGTTTCGCCGTCAAACAGGAAGTTGTTGTAACTTTTCTGTACATAGCCACATCTGCACCAAACTGTACATGTTTGATATGAGCCCCACCCTGAACACATCTACAAGCCAATATAGTCACAGCGCCACCTACTGGTAAGCCCTGTGTGACAAGCATAATTTGTTTTACAGGAAATTTTCACAGGATGTTCCACATTTGATGTACTGGGACACAATGTGTTATAATTGGAGTTTCTCTAGGGCAGTGGTTCTTAACCTGGGGGCCGGGAACCTCTGGGGGAGCAGCTACTATAAACACAAAAATAGAAAAACACTGACTTAAAAATATTTTCAACTTCAAAAAGGGGTCAGAGTGCCAGAAAGGTTAAGAACCGCTGCTCTCTGGGACGCAGGAAGTGACTGAACTCCTTCGTGCATCGTACTAAAAAGCCGTGTGTGAAGGAGCGAGTTCATCGCTGCTTGTATATTTTAATGATAATACTTTTGTAACTTTACTTAAGTAAAATATACTTCTTCCAGAACTGATGTTACTACAAAAAACTTCCTAATCAGAGAGTCCAGGTTGAGCTAAAACCACCATCTACCATCAGACAGCAAACACAGACCAACACGCCCACAGACCTGCTACAGACCTGCTACAGTTCTGGTCTGACTGCTGTTACCTTCTTTAGAAGGAAGTCCGGGCGCTCCTTGGTTTAGGAAAGCATCTTTACTGATAATTCTGACTAAAACCAGACACAAGGCGAGAACACTGTGAGTCCAGAGCTGCTGAGCTCTCAGAGGTCAATGTACAAACTCACATTTCTGATAAACAAGTTATAAATAGTAAATTCAACTCCTATGATGTCATTTATTTACAGTTGCAGACTGTTTTGGAATAGATCATGTGTCTAATCTTTTACTTGTACTGACAAACGTCTGTAATTCAGGACTCTATTCAAACAGGATCTAAACATTAGTTGGCTCTCATCGTTATATACATCGTCATATTTTTCCCAAAATAAGGCCTCATGAGGCAGAAATGGAAGGGAGGGGCTTCTATAGCTCTCTGTAGCTGCCTAGCTAGTTTTGAAATGTCTAATGTGAAGAGATTACAAAGTCGGAAGCACCTTAAACCGACCAATCAGCAGCAAGCTCTGTGTGGAAGACTAGTGGTTCCCAACCTGGGGATTGGGACCCCCAGTAGGGGTCTCAACATGGATCTAAGGGGCCTTTAAATGACTATGATGCTGTTGTTCTCACCCAGCAGGTCTCCGGAGAAGTTGACGGGCAGGACGATGCCGACCGAGAGAACGCCGACGACGACCAGCAGGCCGATGATGTGACGCTGGAAGGACAGATAGTGAACGGCGTCCTCGCCGCACTTCTCCCTGATCTCTTCATCCCTGCAGGAGGAGGAGGAGGAGGAGGATGGGTCAGTCAGTCTCCAGCAGCTTAGAGACTGTGTGGACCTGAACCAAGATCTGAAGCTAGATGTTGATTTAATCCATGACTGTTAGCTGAGCAGGCTAACGCTCAGCTAACGGGCACTGCATATATTTATTTATCTAACTATTTATCTTAGGCTGGCTGGCAAAAGAGTTTCAGACAAACATGGCTGCAACCCCCAGATTTGGCGTTTTAGTAACGCTGCTCACTGGAAGGTTTTACATCTTACCGGATGTTAAAAACATGTGAGACCACAGAATGAACCAATCTTTAATGTTTTATTCTTACGATCGAACACAGCAGACGGTTCAGTCCTGAATGAAAGGCCTTCCCACTGGGCTTTTATACTGAACGGCTTCAGAGTCCGGCGCCACAGTCACATTTAAAGAGGTCACTTCCCCAAACAGAGACACAAAGAGGAGGGAAGACTATAAATCATGACTCAGCAGATATTAAAGACGTTTATCTACAGAGTTGAGGTTAAGAGTTTGAATTGTCACCTGCCGCTTGAATTTTGTGTTTTCTTTTACATAAAAATATTTCCACCATAAATTGGTGCAGAAAATGTCACCAGAATACAGAAAATGAACAGTTTTATGATCAAACTTTTCATATAATTCAGCTTGATTTTTTTTAAATCCCGTCTCATCTCGATCTTGTAGGTTATTTGTCTCGTCACGTAGTTAGATTATTATTAATATTACAGATCATTTTTTTACCCATTAAACTCGCATCTTCCCATCTTGCAACCACGACTACTGATAATAAAATACGACGCAGCCGCAACAATAAACTCTCCCGTTGTCTAACAGCGAATTAATCAAACACATAAATGCTTATTTGACTTTTAAATACAGGCCACCCAGCGAGACAATTAACGCACCAGCCTCAAACGCACCATCAGCAAATTTAACACCTACAGAGTAAATTTAAGATAATTTATGATTTTGAATTTCCCTAATTTCATTTTAAGACTTTAAGGAGCCGCGGGAACCCTGCAAAAGTATATCAACTTGAAGGCGTCAGAAAGACACAAAAACACATCAAATATATGAGAAATATACAGAAAACGTCTCCTCACCAGAAGGTGGCGCTACTGAACAACATTCTGTCTCTGTTGCCTAAAACATGTAAAACCTTTGACTGGAACAAACGGAAATGTCTCGTGGGTCTGAAGTGGACACTCACTTTATTCTGAAGATGGCCGTCAGCCACGAGCAGAAGCCCTGCAGGAAAAACACACGATTATATTCTGATTTACACGCACACAAGATGTAGACAGTGAGGATGAGGGTGGCGAGGGATGAAGGTGTCCTTACGTTGTCTCTCTGGTCAAAGTCGACGGAGCTGGAGACAGACGTGAGCCGTTCGTAGCGGTCAGGCGTCTCCGAGTGCATCGCAGAGGCCACGCTGCGGAGACACGCAGGAGGGAGTCAGGTGACTGTTAGCATTTAGCATGTAGCCGCTCTGACCTTTGACCTCGGCGTCTGAAAGCTGATTGGACTCTTGAGTTTAGTCCCTCTACAAGACACTGAAACACAGAGGGCGCTAACAGGAAGTAACATCACAAACTGACCCCTCAGCAGAAACAGGACAGAGGTGTTTCCAGATGTGAGCGTGCTAGCTGACAGGACGCTGGGTCTCCTGTGGAGGTAGCTACCTAGCTAGCAAGCTAGCTAGCACGTCACAGGGTTGACGACACACAAACACACAGCTGGTTACCTTTTGACCGGCTCATAGTTATCTTGGTCTCGTCTGAGTCTGAGTTCAAGTTAAAAAACGAAGACAAGTGAGAAGCGGAGTTAGCATCACATCTGTTAGCATCACATCTGTTAGCATCACATCTGTTAGCATCACATCTGTTAGCATCACATTAACCAACACAGAGTGAATACTGTGTACACACACACACGCGCGCACACACACACACACACACACACTCGTCAGTATTCATGGGCTATGGGGGGTGATTGGTGCCACACTCAACACAGCAGCCACGTGTCGCTGCAGGTCATCGTGGCCGGATTAAAGCCGGTTTATTACAGCTGTTGAAATTCTTTTTACATCCCAACAGCGATCAATAAATCGAATGTTACAATCAAACTGTTTCAGTCATTTTTGTAACAGCATAAATTCACGTGTTCCAGCTTCTCTTTCCCCGTTTTCTAACAACAAGCTCGGCATTAGAACATTGTTCACCTGGGCTTCAGAGAACAGTGACTATTCACCGATCGATCAGTCCATTAGTAAAGAAAATGACTGTCAGATGTTTTGATAATGAAAACACTTGCTGGCTGCAGCCTCATGAGCTTCCTGTCAACAGCAACAAATAGAAAGTGAAACAGTTCAGGTGGATGTTCACACAGGGGCCCCCTGCAGGACCAGGGGCCCCCTGCAGGACCAGGGGCCCTCTGCAGGACCGGAGGCCCTCTGCAGGACCAGGGGCCCTCTGCAGGACCGGGGGCCCCCTGCAGGACCAGGGGCCATCTGATACTGGACTTTAGTGGTGCAGATTTCACACACTAATAACCCCCCATACTGAAACACTGAAATGAAGAAGTTGTTGTGTTAGTTGCACCAATCAGAGAGCAGAACCCTGTTAATGAAACCGGAGGACGAGGACGAGGAGGACGAGTACCACAGGAGGGGGAGGAGGAGAAGGAGGAGGACGGGAGGGGGAGGACGAGGAGGAGGAGGAAGAGGACGAGGAGCACAGGAGGGGGAGGAGGACGGGAGGAGGAGGAGGACGGGAGGAGGAGGAAGACAGGAGGGGGAAGAAGACGGGAGGGGGAAGAAGACGGGAGGGGGAGGAGGAGGAGGAGGAAGAGGACGAGGAGCACAGGAGGGGGAGGAGGAGGACGAGGAGCACAGGAGGGGGAGGAGGACGGGAGGAGGAGGAGGACGGGAGGAGGAGGAAGACAGGAGGGGGAAGAAGACGGGAGGGGGAGGAGGAGGAGGAGGAGAAGGAGGAGGATGTTAGCGGTCAAAACAAACATGGAGGAAGCAACAACATACTATTCCCGCTCCTCCAGGTCGCTGAAACGCTTCTTCAGTCTTCAGGATGGAAACAGAAAGAAAATCAAAAGCTGCCGACGTCGGCGGGACGACGACAATGAAAATTAAAAATGAGCGTACAGCAACGTAGTAAAAACACCTCGTGGTTACCACAGAGATATTTTATTAATCTTTACAGGAAACAAATCAGGATCTTATTCATGCTGTGGCCCCTCAGATGCGTCGGGGAGTTTTCTGCACATTAAGAAACCTCTGAGCGTTTCCTGCGACTACAGGTGAGTTTACCTGTCGGCGTCGGTGACCAGCGCCAGGCGGCCATAGTCCCACGCAACCTTCCTCAGGATGGAAAAGACGAAAAGCAGCACCTGAAGAAGAGAGCGGAGAAACACATGATGCTGCAAGTCAGAAGTCAAAGGTGTTATAGTGATGTCACTGTGACGTCACGATCAATCTCAGGTATTAACGTGGCGAGTTTCATGTTGTTACAAAAACTGAGGGATAAAACTTCTAAAAGTGAAAACCTCCTTGGCTGTAAACCTGGTTCTGATTCTGTGCAGCTCGGGAAACAAGTCTCTGACTCCATCAGCACCTGTAGACTGCCGACACCAAGGACCCGCACCCCCTCCAGGACCCGCACCCCCTCCAGGACCCCCTCCAGGACCCACACCCCCTCCAGGACCCGCACCCCCTCCAGGACCCGCACCCCCTCCAGGACCCACACCCCCTCCAGGACCCACACCCCCTCCAGGACCTGCACCCCCTCCAGGACCACCACTGTGTCCGAAATTACTCACTTTATCAGGTTCATGAATGACGTCCACTTCAGCATACAGATATTTAGAAACCATTTGGAGCCCTTTAAGTTACAGCACCATGTGGCTGAACCCCAAAGCGTCGTCTACAAATCCATTTGATTAATCATTTCTTTTACATCTCTGTCATTCTGATATTCTGCATCATAAATTCAAAACAGGGGAGGGAAGAGGACATGCACCTGAGCAATAACTGTAAAATCATTTTATTCTCAGAAAACAAGACCAAAATGTTTTTCAACTAAAGAGCATGTTAGAAATACTTTTATTCAGATTTTAATGATACAGTATCTCAAAGTGAGTTCACCCCTCACATGTCTGTAAATATCTGATTCTATCTTTTCAAGTGACGACACTGAAGAAATGACACTTTGTAAAGTAGTGAGCGTGCAGCTTGTATAACAGTGTAAATCTGCTGTCCCCTCAAAATAACACATCACACAGCCGTTAATGTCTAAACCGCTGGCAACAAAAGTGAGGACACCCCAAGAGAAAATGTCCAAATGGAGGAGCGCAAGGTCTCTAACAGCCACCAGCTCTGTGATGTGGAGGAGTGGAAGAGGACTCCAGTGGCAACCTGTGAAGCTCTGCTGAACTCCAGGCCCAAGAGGGTTAAAGCAGCGCTGGAAAATAATGGTGGCCCCACAAAATATTGACACTTTGGGCCCAATTTGGACATTTTCACTTAGGGGTGTCCTCACTTTTGTTGCCAGCGGTTTAGACATTAACGGCTGTGTGATGTGTTATTTTGAGGGGACAGCAGATTTACACTGTTATACAAGCTGCACACTCACTACTTTACACTGGAGCAAAGTGTCATTTCTTCAGTGTTGAAACATGAAAAGATAGAATCAGATATTTACAGACATGTGAAGGGTGAACTCACTTTTGTGAGATACTGTTTCATATTTCTGGTACATTTTGTTCTGTGACTGAAAATACATCTGTCCACTCCAGAGGGCTGATTCGGCTTTACTGAGGTTTTATTTAAAATGATGATATAATTTGCACTTGAATAACTTTAAGTGTATTTATACCACTGGTTTTTAGTAAATGTTTTAAAATCACAGTTTGAGTTTCACTGAATCACTTCTGATGCTGTTGATGCAGCGGACACATTCAAAATCAAATATACTGTGGAAAAAAGTTTACAGGTTTAAAAGGAAAAACAAGCTAAAATTATTAATAATTCATGCATGAAAATAGTTTTCAATGTTGCTGTCCGAGTATATAGTGAGAACTATACCCACGCTAACTAACCAAACCATATTTACCATCATGCATTGGCAGATAGAAAAATGACCCACCAGCCGAACTTGATCTCGCACGTTTTACTTATGTAAGTTTCATATTTGTATCAAACATTTGTCCATTTTCTACTTCTGATTTCTGGCTTCTGGCACTAGGTTTAGTTTATCAGGCAGCAAAACTCTCCTGCTTTAACCTGCTGCGACACAAGCCTGGTTCTGAAAACACGAGCAAACCTTTGATTAAATGTTCTGCAGAGTCTGACGGAGCGTCAGCGTCAGGGTCGATCCATGAAGCTGCGGTATTGATTTTTCCTACAGACAGTCCACATTCAGCAGCTCCCACAATGCATCACGGTTCCTTCAACATCACAGCTGACTGCGTGTTCAAAAGAGCCCAAACTCAAGGTGCGTTTGACTTCAGCTGACTTAACATGAGGCATGCTGGTTAAAAAGTTTGCCCTACTTTCTCACCTTGTCACGTGGCATCAAAACCTCGCAATTTACAGGAGGGAGAACGTGTCCGAGTGGACGGCAGTGTTTTCATACCCCACCCCTGTCAGCCGCAGAGATCTCGAACGCACCCCAATTCACTCAGATCCGCAGACTCTGACACTGCGCGTAGGAAAAGGTTCTGTGTCGCTTTATGATAATTCTAGAGAAGATGTCAGGTACATATCTGTAATATCAGATGAGTTTTATTATTATTATTATTATTTCCTCTTCGGTGGTTTGGTGCTTTTGCGTCCATCTCCTCCAAGTATGGTCACGTCTGGTTGCAAAAAATCAACACCGAGGCTTCAAAGCGGCGGTGACGTCTGTGGTTCTGACAGTGAACATTATGAAGGTCAGTACGTAGTTAGAGATCTTATAATAACAGACACAGCAGCAGTCTGTCTGTCAGAGAGTCAATGCTCAGGATCGATTAGCCTAAATGTCAGAATCATGTCACTGAATGGAAATTCAGACGGTCCCTGAACGCATCATCGACCGCACAGATTAAAGAACAGGCGTAAACTGGACACAGATCCTCTCTGCGTCCAGACGTTCAATCTGAAACTCTGCTTTGTTAACCAGCCAATGTCCCCCCCCCGCCACCGTGCGTGTGCATGTGTGTCATACTGAGCGCGTGCAGTGGCGACTCACCAGGAAGCACATGAAGTCGAGGGCGAGCACGGTGGGCACGCCTCCGAACGGCAGCCCCTGCAGCACCGTGCTGCGGATGCGAGCCGAGTAGCAGTAGTCCCGCTCGCCGTGGTTAGAGCAGTTGTCTTGACCGGCGCATGCCTGGCTGTTGCCGAATATCGCCATGGTAACGATCAGCGCTCGTGAGCAGCACGCTCACTGCCGCATCCTCACGGAGAACCTGAAGGAGGAAAAACAAACAAGTGACCTTTAACCTTTCAGGTGAGACAAATCAACTCCAGCGTCACCTTTAATTATTAACTGCTGAGATGTTTCTGCTTCACAGAGAAAGAAAACTTTTTCAATGTAACGTCTGTTTTTTGACTCCGGGCTGAACAGCTCTGGATCTAATGTTTCTGAACCACAGGAGGAGCCTTTTTAAATGAAACCTGGTGCTGCAGAGACGTCCTCGCCTCCACGTCGTACTCAAAGAACAACCCGTCGTATTATATCAGTGTGTCAGACTGTTCTGACCAACGTATCCTGCGTACAGTCCCAGAGAACAGCGGCAGGTCGGCAGGGGTTCGAACCCACAACCTTCGTGAGGAGACAGTGCTAACCGCCGCACCGCCATTGATTTACAACACTTAAATCATCATGACCGCAGAGTAAGAATGTTAGAAACCGCAGTGCACCCTGGGAGAGAAGATCAGTGAGGTGGAAGTTATGTGTAATGAAAATGTTTTAGCATCAGACCTCAGAGCGGAGTGGACTACATTTCCCAGCATGCCTGAGGAGCAGCAGCAGCAGGCAGGCAGGCAGGCAGGCAGCAGGCAGGCAGGCAACCCCCCCCGTGACCTACTGATCCCGTTACCACGGTAACACATACTGCAGCTGCTGACCCACTTTTCACGCCTCGACTGCCGCTGCGGCTGCTTGTCGCTTCAAACGCACAGTGACGGCGCTCAAACCGATGATGTCATCAATGCATGACGTCGCTGAGAACAAAGGAGGCGTCAGAACTCATCGTCTCGCTGTGACCACGTGGCGAGTTTGGACTCTCAGGGGGAGACAAACTGACTTCCTGTTGTTCTGGCAGCTCCCGCGTGCCCACTGCTGCCTTCAGGGACGGGTCAGAATGAAAGTACGTTCACCTGTTCAGATGTTACTGGACTTCGGTGAGGTAGTTCACCTGTCCGCAGGCTTCTTGAGTGGCGAGACGTTGGACCGTAGAATTTACAGTAAATAATGTCCTTTAAAAATGCTGCTAAATACTATAAAACAAATAAGAGTGTATTACAGGTTTGTGCTGTATATTAATTACAGCAATTTACTGTAGTTTTCACAATAAAACAGCAATAAATTGTAATTTACAACATTATCTTGTGTTCTGTTCAAATTACATAAATGACCTGCCAGTAAACAGCTGTTAAAACGTCACACACAAAATGTCCTTTTATTATAGGTTTTGTGTTTTCTTTTAAATCAAACTAAAATCAGAACTGCAACAAAACATTTACTAAAATTCAATACAGTTTTTCAGCCACCTGAGCCACTGCGTGCAAGTAACAACCTCTATATGCAGTGAAAAAACAAACGGTTCCTTCACTCCTGGTTTCAAAACCACCACAAGAATGACAACTACCAACAAACACCACCACGTTCTAAGCAGACACCTTTAAAAATATATAAATCATCAGCTAATATTTGTATTTCAAACAAATAAATAAGTTATTAGCAATTTTTAACAAAACTCACTTCACCGCCATGCATTATGGGGATTCTGAGGGACGGACGTAGGCCGCCATATATCATCGGCGGCCGCGACACAGACGGACTCGGTGGACCTTCCGAGTGAGTCGGGGGTCACGTAAACTTAAATGACTTGGTAGCAGGTGGGCCCCGTGATGAAGCTCCGCCCCCACTGCGCTGAGTGTAGCTCCGCCCCCGCTCAGGAAGAACGCCTCTTTCAAACATAATCTGATATCAATCTATTATCGTATTATCGACAGTTAAAACGCAGTTTGCCTGTAATTTTAATATATGGAAAAATGCTGTCAACAGTTATTTTGGACCCATAATGCATTGCGATTTACAGTTAACCTTTGTAAAATGACAGAACCGTAAGTTCCTGTCATTTTTTACTGTAGAAACTACAGCAATTTGTTACAGTGTTCCTCACAGGACACGTCTCTGCAGCCTGCGCACCTCCATCGACTGGCCGTCACTTCAGACTGGACGGAACCGGCTTGTTAACAAAACCCTGAGTCTGATGGGCAACTTCCTTCCAAGACCTAATCCGCTGTATTACTCAGAGGCGTAAAAGATTACTAGTTACCGTCATTTGAGAGTAATTCCATTACAGAATCACAGTCTCTGAGTTCCTTTCACTGCCGTTTTAATGGGCGCATTATTCAGAGTGAGAAGTGCCTGCAGGTGCAGTTCTGTGCATCAGGTGAGTCTTTGTTATAAAAACTAACATCTTGATTAGTCTGTGTGTGTTGGGGGGGGGGGGTGCTGATGGGTGAAATAGGATGAATCTGGACAGGATCTGTCAGGCTGCACCGACAGCAGCCTCTCTGACCAGGGAAGGAAAGAATTATATTTACAATCACTTCCCGTCTTATTAAGGTTCCCTCATAGTTTCACCCTGTTTCTAATCTCAACCATCGAACTCCATCAGTCCATTTAGTCATTAACAAAACGCCACTTCATTTTGGATTAAAATGAGTTGCAACACAGGTATAATATTACTGAAATTTCATTAGTAATTTGTAACATCAGTGTAACTGCATTACTTGTAACGTGTTCCTTCCATGTTAACCATAGTTTCTTGTATCGTCTCCTCGCTGTAGATCATCCTGCGTCTCAGTCTTGTCATGTTTCTTATTATTCTTTCCTGTGGTTTCTTTTAGTTTAAGGTTTGTTGTTGTCAGCCTGCGTCTTCTGTCCCTTGTTTTGTTATTTTCTTTAATCCCAGGACGCGTTCCTTCCAGCAGGCTTTTGTCTCTAAATGTATATATTGTTAAAAAAAAAAAAAAAAAAAAAGGTATAATAAAAAAAGAGATCTTCACTTACAAAAGCCTGGCAGTTAATTATTATTAAAACTGCTGTCATTTCCATCAGAATAACCTCCTAACACGTGTCCTATGCTCTGCGTGACCCCGTGACCTCCCCTGTAGCGCCCCCTACAGGCTCTGCTGGTCAGACCGTGGCAGTAATGAGCAGTGCAGCATCCAGGGGTCGCTGACAGGATTTCAGTTTGTTGTTCTGGTTGGTTCTGTGTAGAACAGTGATGGTCTGATCTAGAATATTCCACCAGTTCAGCATCATTCAGAGGGAACCCCCCCCCCCCCCCGCTGCAGCATGACTCATCTGAAGCCTCCAGTCTCAGAGCTGCAGAGACACTGCAACACATCCAGTCATCAGTCCAGGGCCTCAACAGCTGATCACACCATGTCTTTACACTGACCCAGAAACCTTATTAACCCTGTTAGTGTTGGCCTGACCACTATTATATTAATTAGCTTAGCACTGGCTTAAAACAACTGTTAGTTTCATTAGTTTATCCCTCCACTAGCTCCTGTTAGCTTAACACCTCCACTAGCTCCTGTTAGCTTAACACCTCCACTAGCTCCTGTTAGCTTAACACCTCCACTAGCTCCCTGTTAGCTTAACACCTCCACTAGCTCCCTGTTAGCTTAACACCTCCACTAGCTCCTGTTAGCTTAACACCTCCACTAGCTCCTGTTAGCTTAACACCTCCACTAGCTCCCTGTTAGCTTAACACCTCCACTAGCTCCCTGTTAGCTTAACACCTCCACTAGCTCCTGTTAGCTTAACACCTCCACTAGCTCCCTGTTAGCTTAACACCTCCACTAGCTCCTGTTAGCTTAACACCTCCACTAGCTCCTGTTAGCTTAACACCTCCACTAGCTCCCTGTTAGCTTAACACCTCCACTAGCTCTCTGTTAGCTTAATACCTCCACTAGCTCCCTGTTAGCTTAACACCTCCACTAGCTCCTGTTAGCTTAACACCTCCACTAGCTCCTGTTAGCTTAACACCTCCACTAGCTCCTGTTAGCTTAACACCTCCACTAGCCCCTGGTAGTTTAGCCCTGGCCTAACACCTCCACTAGCCCCTGGTAGTTTAGCCCTGGCCTAAGACCTCCATTTGCCCCTGGTAGTTTAGTCCCGGTCTAAGACCTCCTCTAGCCCCTGGTAGTTTAGCCCCGGTCTAAGACCTCCTCTAGCCCCTGGTAGTTTAGCCCCGGTCTAAGACATCCATTTGCCCCTGGTAGTTTAGCCCCGGCCTAAGACCTCCTCTAGCCCCTGGTAGTTTAGCCCCGGCCTAAGACCTCCTCTAGCCCCTGGTAGTTTAGCCCCGGCCTAAGACCTCCTCTAGCCCCTGGTAGTTTAGTCCCGGCCTAAGACCTCCACTAGCCCCTGGTAGTTTAGCCCCGGTCTAAGACCTCCTCTAGCCCCTGGTAGTTTAGCCCCGGCCTAAGACCTCCATTTGCCCCTGGTAGTTTAGTCCCGGTCTAAGACCTCCTCTAGCCCCTGGTAGTTTAGCCCCGGTCTAAGACCTCCTCTAGCCCCTGGTAGTTTAGCCCCGGTCTAAGACATCCATTTGCCCCTGGTAGTTTAGTCCCGGCCTAAGACCTCCTCTAGCCCCTGGTAGTTTAGCCCCGGCCTAAGACCTCCTCTAGCCCCTGGTAGTTTAGTCCCGGCCTAAGACCTCCTCTAGCCCCTGGTAGTTTAGTCCCGGCCTAAGACTTCCACTAGCCCCTGGTAGTTTAGCCCCGGCCTAAGACCTCCTCAAGCCCCTGGTAGTTTAGTCCCGGCCTAAGACTTCCATTTGCCCCTGGTAGTTTAGTCCCGGCCTAAGACTTCCATTTGCCCCTGGTAGTTTAGTCCCGGCCTAAGACTTCCATTTGCCCCTGGTAGTTTAGCCCCGGCCTAAGACCTCCTCTAGCCCCTGGTAGTTTAACCCCGGTCTAAGACCTCCTCTAGCCCCTGGTAGTTTAGCCCCGGCCTAAGACCTCCTCTAGCCCCTGGTAGTTTAGTCCCGGCCTAAGACTTCCATTTGCCCCTGGTAGTTTAGTCCCGGCCTAAGACCTCCTCTAGCCCCTGGTAGTTTAGTCCCGGCCTAAGACTTCCATTTGCCCCTGGTAGTTTAGTCCCGGCCTAAGACCTCCTCTAGCCCCTGGTAGTTTAGCCCCGGTCTAAGACCTCCTCTAG